AACTTTCTATAACAAAACATTATTTACCAGTGTAAAACGGAAAAAGTAATTAGAATATGGTTAAAAAAGATAAATATGCATTATTTAAACAATATAAATATATTATTATGGCAGAATATAGCAGAATATGCCATATTAAGCCATACATATCGCAAAATTGTTATGAATGATAATTTCTCTGAAACCGTGTTGTGAAAATTAATCTAATTTTGCAAAAATTTCTAGTAATTTAGGATCTATACGTATAAAAAAATTAAATTTTTGGTACTATTTCTTCAATACTTTTATTACTAATTACATTCGACAAAGTTGCGTTTCCTGTAAGAAAACATCTCTTATAGAACTTTAATACTAATACCGGCCAATTAATCACTCCTTTTCTCTCTCTCTCTCTCTCTTTTGGTACTATTTTTGAAATAGCTCAGATACATCCTTAATGTAAATAAATGTTTATTTGGAACTATTCAAATAAATATTTATTAAAATTTAGTATATTTTTTCTTAATGTATGCAACTTATTTAAGATAATATGTTAAATCTTCAATCTCATAAAAGATCTGATAAATTTTGCGATTTTAAATCGAACAGATTTTCTAAATTTGTATATGAAAGTCTTATAAACTTTTTAATTCGGAATATAGTTGCATTGCATTTAAATTAAATTTATTTCTTAAATTATACAATATATATATATTAAGAAAAATTAAATCTTTAAAACGCATTTTATTGTTTGATATAATAATTAACTTCGTTCATATTAAATTTCTAGTTCTATCTTCATCAACAATTAGTTTCGAGATTGACGTTTATATAAGATTGTTGAAAATTGATATAGAAACGCGCTGATAAAATGCGTGACATTTCCACATTACGTCAGTTTTTTATTTTCTACAAAACAACGAAAGGATAAAAAGAAATGGATTTCTCATGCAAGCAGGATAGAACGAATTTCAGGCTCCTGTGAACAGAATGATAACGCTCGCGTCGCGGACGCGTAATCAGCGTGGGATTCATTATTCATACCCGCGAATCGAAGCAATAATTTCCGCGGTCCACGACATACGTCGCTCGCGGAATGTCGCGAGTCGTCACGCGAGGAGGGTAGATGGTGTCCTCGACGGGGATGGAAATGCGAAAACGTGACGGCTACTCGTCCGTATTGTTTGCGCGACGAAAGTAGGGACCCGCGGAGCGCTTATTTACACGGGACAAATAGGCAAACAAGGAATTGCCACGCGGCTCACCGTGAGCGCCGTGCAAGAGTCTTGCGATGACAATTAGCCAATAATTTCAATAGTAATTAGAGCGAAAAGTACATTTACATCAGTTATCGGCTCTGAATCCCAATCATCTTGGCGTATAAGCTAGAAAAGAAAAGAACCGTTATAATAAAATTTTCGAATATGTACAAATATTGCAATAACTCTTATTGTTAAATCATTAACTCATGTTTTGATAGTTTCTTGACTTATATAATACTTGACGGAACATTTATATTTTGTATAAAATGACAAAGTTACATGTTTCAATTTTAACCACGAGAAAAATTAGTAATGTTAGAATGATGTTTCAATAGGCTTGTTCTTTTTGACTGAACTTTTGCACCAGTTCATCTTTCTTCCTCTTCTTTCCTCCTGAAGAAAAAAGGAATGTGAACTGGTTCAGCTAAAAAGAACAGGCCTATTGCATCGTACATTTAATTATATCATAACGCTATCGCATTATTTATTATTTGTAAAAGTCATATATTAATTTTGTTGTAAAGATAAAATACTAATTATAATAAAGATAAAAAGCTGAAAAATATAAAAGATAAAGAGATAATGTCAAATAATTATTTATACATTTCACATATAGGAGATAAGTATTAAAAAAATTATTGTATTAGATTTTATATGCAAAAAATTATTTATTTGTAATAGAAAATGAAAAATAGTGTTTAGAAATAAACACATTAATAAGTTATTATTGTTAGGAGAAGAAAGAGATAAAATTTTTACATATGTAATTAGTTTACCATCCATCATAAAGTCTGATGTACTTTATCGATAACTTTAGAGGAACATTTGAGGCATTTGAGGAATATTAGTAGCATTTATTCATTAATGTTTGCCAATAATCTTTTTCCGTAAGAGAATATTCACAAATGCGAATCAAATTCTATTTTATCTCCAATCTATGAAATATTCACTGCCGGATCTACGCAAAATCCACTGAAGTCGCGCAAATTTATCGTCCATAAAATATACACTAGGCATATTGACGTAATATTCAGTTAATAAATCATCTACTGTAAAAAATACGCCCGTCGTATGTACATAACTCCGTTATTGAAAAATTATTCGTGTAGATTTTTTACCGATGTGTGTACTTCCTTGTGATTGCATTCAAAATATTATGGCTACCGATTTCCGGATGAGAACGCGAATCAAAAATTTATTCGAAAAAATTACTATCAAGAAAAATCAATTGCTTCTGTTTTTTTATTAAGTATTATTTAAAATGTATTATTACAAATAATTAATTAGTTCGAGTTTAATGATATGAATTTTTTGATAGTAATTTTTTAATTAAAAGTATCAGGAATAAAAAATACTGAAAAAATTTAAAGAAATAAAATCTCTGCATATATAATCTAAATATTGTAATGTTTAATCGACGAATCGTAATGTTATCGGTCATTCCTGCGCACAATCTTGATGATAATGGACTAACATTATAAAGCAAATAATTGCTCATTGCTCCTTACTGCTGACTGGGATTAAATTCCTCTGCATGATGGAAAGTTCCTTTCTCTCTTATCATCTCTTTATTAAATTAAAAGTAAAATTCATGAGAAGAGAAAATTTATGCCTCTAAATCATAATGTTATCAATTATTCTATGGTCTATATAAATTACATACATAAATCGAAAATCTTTTATATTTTCATATAATACAGGAATCATCGTGTGATAACATAATGAATAAAAATTTCATGTATATTAACGTATCACAAAAAATATTTAAGCTACATACAAAAAGCAATTATTGCCTTAGAAAAATTTTCGCATAATTCATTGCTTCAGAAATAAACGGCGTTTATACTTTAGATCGGAAATCCGTGTGACGGCAAAATCTTTTTCATAGCTGGCCCCGGCAAGCTTGGCTAGTCACACCGAACGGGGTTGGTTGCAGCGCATGCCACAGGGACTGAAGTCTGTTTGCTCATGAAATATGCAGGCATGCGCCCTCCATAACTGCTCGTAAGCACTGAAACTTGCGTGCAACGCCGAGCTACCGAGCTACGGGATTTTCCGTTCTTCCGCACGAGGGAAGACCATTTGTGAAGGCGACGCGAGTATACCTAATACGCGTGAGCACCGGGCGTGAATCAATCCTTCGGTATTAGAAAATAATAGCGATGTAGGCGAATAATAAGTACGCAAGATTTAGTTAAATAAATAGGATAAATACGCAACAAAAGAAAACATACGTTATTTAAATCTTTATTTATGTTAAATTTTTTAACTTTGATAAAATACATTCTTTACGTTCATTTTACATTACAAGTAATAATTTTGAATGTACAGAATTTTTAAATACGAAAATGTCGAAGCAGCTTCCTTTGTAGTTCACGTTTTCTTTTATCATACATTATACGTTGCAATTTATTGGGTCAAATGTATATATGTAACATATACATATATGTAACATGATAGAATTTTTATCATTTTGATCAAGAATCTTTTACGGTGTGAATTTCGAGCTGAGGAAATGAACAAAGTTCAAAGTTTGCCCGGAATAAAGACGAAGATACCCGTTTAATAAGTATGCCATTAGCAACAATTCTAATTAGACAAGACAATTAAACTGACGTGACTAGCAATTAGTTTATATATATATTAAATTATTTTTATTTCATAAATTATTTTTTATTTTGAGTTTTCTGGATCCAACGAGATCCGAAATATTATCAATGACGATTAATATTAAAAAAAAAAATAACGTTCAAATAAATTTGAAGAAAAAGTCTTCAAATATATTAACACGTGTTTACATTCTGTATACGTCTCATAAAAAATAAAACAATTATATTATACAGTGTGAATTGGCGAAATGTAGCTTATTAAAGAAGAATTCGGCTCAAAAGGATTGAGTCAACGAAATCTTTGCCTTCTTATTTCAACGATTGCCGGTGCAGTTGGCTTAATGAACGTAAATCGATACCTTCCGCAAGAGGAGGTATGTAAGTACCGCGTGCGCAAATACGGTTTTTTGTTACTTGCGCCAGGAGCGATGGTCAATATTACATCAAGAGCTCCGAATTGATCGAGCTCCGTACCGCAAACATTTTAACAAACATTCTCTGCTTTGCCGTTAAACGTGCTATTTAAGCAGGAGTTATGCGTCTTGAACTTCGCACGAATAATCATTCAACTTGATATCGCGTTGTTAGATTTTTTAAATTAAATATTTTTTGTAATTCACGCTTTCTTTATTATTGCCAAGCGGTAAATCAGGTCAATCAAAATTCGAACAATCGAACATTAACGATTCACGCGAAATTGCAGGTCTCTTTTTTTCATCCGCAACCAATTCTACTCGAGACCGAATATTTCAGGCTAACGCGCGTTTTGTTCATAACAAATATTTCGCGCTACAGGCGGAAATTACTGCTTTCACGGGACACAACGAGTTACTTTTGATGCTCGAGGCTGGCATGGTTCACCGATGATTCGGCCGGATATAGAAACGAATAAAACGACCTTTCATACGCGATCGGTATTGCGAGCTTGATTTCGACGTGAGTTAATTGCGATAATCTGACCTGTAACAGAGGGGTTGTAACAACATATGCCGTCCACGGGGTTAAATAATCCGGCGTGTCCCGTCGTTGCGGACGTCTAACTTATGCACAACGTGACAAGCTTTCGTGCGCCACGTAAGGTCATAAAAAAAGCTGACAGGTACACACCTTGGCGTGTCAACTTGGCGAACGCCAACATCGCGTCGTGCCATATGCCTCGTTTTTAGCTCGCGAGGCAAGGTGCAATCTGAGAGCTGTTCGCGTTTTGATTATTCGTGGGGTGCGAGAGGACAACGCCGTATGTAACGCGGGTACATAAACGAGATGCCGACAACGTGAAGGGTTTAATAGCACTACGGGTCACGAAACAACGTCGAAGTTTACATTATAAAGCAACGTTTCTGAGAACTCTCGTTTCTTCGTCCCTCTCTGGCGCCCTTGTTATGCTTTTAGCATTTAATATGCTCGATTAATTTTCGAAAATACTGAAAAACTCCAACGATATCACTGAGACAACAACAACGATACGAAGGATGTTAAGCATACAGCTTACGATGGTAGATTACGAAATAATGTTGAAAGTAACGCTCAGATTGATGGTACCAGAAAGCAAGATGCTTTTATTAAGATTCTTCTAACGAAAGACAAGTACTTGTTGCGCTAAAAATTTCACGTGTAATTTCATGTAAGGTAATAAATACAAAGACTTTAATAATATATTAAAAAATTTCTAAAAATATATATATATGCAGTATATAATTTCTATTTATTCATTCGATAGATAAACTGCTCAAATTTTATAAAATTTATAATTTATCTTTATACATATACATATATACTTATACGATAAATTGAATCAATAAGTAATCTTAATTTTGTCCTCAAAAATCAGGGTGATATTTATTATTGTAGCTTATATTGATTTATCCATGTATATACATATAGACATATTCTATATATATTTACAAATGTCAAATATGAGAAATGACTTTTACTCATAGAAAAATAGGATACTTACATTTAAAGTATTATCGGATATTTATATTAAATATTATCGGAAAATATTACTTTTGCTAGAAACGAAGAAATTCTTCTAATATTTCAAAAAGAATATATCAAGTGCAGAGTTTCATTTTTCCTCCTTGATTCTTCTTCCGGGCCGACCAAACTCTTCTTGACCGCTTGTCGACGAAACGATGAACGCATATTAGAGCAGACCGATAGCTCGATAAGGTCCAATCGATAATAGTCGCTCGGTTGGCTGGATGACTGACTGGTTGGTCGGTCGAGCATATACATATATTATATACGTACATATATATACATAAGATCTCTCCCTCTTGCGCTCTCCGTCTCTCCTGTTTAAGCCACCCCTCGTTTCTCCGTCCCTCTCCATTCGATTGGTTCACCCTGTATAAGGGCGAATAAGACTGAGTAAGGGGTAGTAGATAGGTAGGTGGTATAGATTGAGCAAACAGCGCGTTTATAGCGCATAAGGGACTCCTCTGAATTTCCTCGACACGAACCGATCGTTGCGGCAAGCAGCGATGCGGTACTCGAAAGAGAGAGAAAGAGCCTTCTCGATTATCGAGTACACCACCCGTTATCGATTGCTTGTCGGTGAGCATCGTTTTCGCACGGACCCACGTGTAAGAGCATAAGATTGTAAAATTGGACGCGTATACCTGCAAACTATATCATTACACGTGATCGTGAAAAGATTCTTGCTGTCTTCTCATTTTATTTTATTTTATTTTGTACAATCACCGTTGTTATTAGCAAGATTATTGCGATATCTTGTATTTCGTAGTTAATTATAAGCATATTATAAAAGTAAGATTTAAAGAAAAATAAGAAAGTATTCCCCGTATGATTTTGATAATCCAAATAATTTTTATAAAATTGTTAAACGTTAGCAGTTATTGCGAAATAAATCTTTTTTTTATTTGATTACATACGTAAGAAATTGAGTAAGAATAATTCCAATAAAATGAAAAGGGAATGAAATAATCATTAGGAAAAATATAGCAGGTTAAAAAATATAAAAAAAAAATTTTTTTATCATATATTTTTAATAACTCTTAACATATTCCATTTAAAAAGATTTATTTTTAAGAAAAGCAGATTATTTCTCTGCAGATTAATCAGTGTCTTTATCGCTTATGTGTATCCATTTTATTAAATAATCTGCATATCCAAATCAGATATTGATAGACATTTTATCTTACGCATTGCTTAAGAACGAAACGTGAGTTCATTTTAGTGAGTCAAGTCACAAGCGAGAGAAATTCGTACCTTGTTCGGTCGAAGTGGATTCACGTATGTATGCGTCGTTTCAATTCGGACCGATGCTTTGCCGGATCGGCTACGGCCCTCATCGTCCGCGGATGAACGGGCGGATGAATCTTCCTCTGTGTTGCGGAGGGTAACGTCGTAAAAAATTCATTATCCATCCGAGGAATCGATCGCCGAACTCCGTGTAATTACGTGCTCTTTACACCATACCACGCGCCCGCTCCCTCGAAGACCGGACGTAATGAGAACGTGAAAAAAAGTCGACAACGAGGCGCGATCGGGCTCTTCTGTCTTCGTCCACGTTGCATAGACGCATCGTCGATACAGCTCGACTAACATGAAAAAAGTGATTGCACCAGCTTGATTGAGGAAATTCAGCTAACAGTTAAACAAAAACTTAATGAATAAATTTACTCAATAGTTACTGATTAAATCATTAGCGATAAACAATTACATTCATATTTTGCCTTCATTTAGTTTTCATTTTCAATAAGTTTAATTTTAATTTAATTATATTGCATATTTTGTATTAAAAAAATTATTAGAATTATTGAAAAAACGTTATATTTTTATGTAGTTTTTTAATTTTTTGTTATCATCAATTATATAGTTAACGGAATATATTGATATTGAAATAGAGTGAAGGCGGAAAGGTTGAAGGTCTGACATCTCGCACGAGGCACGTTTAATGTCAGGAATGTGCATTCTCGAATATGCTGCTGCCATTATTTCAATCCGGAACAAATCGTTAATTTTGCAGTGCGTTCCGCGATTTATACCCTTCAGCTCGTAATTCGTACGAGAAACGTGTGCATGTCGGTGTGCCTGCGAAACACAAAAGCTGCGCGATGTCGACAAAAATAAAAAATAAAAAATCAGAAAATATATCAATTTTTCGTAAGTTTTATTAGATTTTTTTAATCCTATTTGCTGTATTAACTACTTACATCTGGATACTTTTTATATTCCTATAGTTGCACAAAATAATATATGTATTAATTTAATATACGAACGTGCAGGCAGATACGTTAAATATACGCAGTTGCGTAGCGTTTTTGAAAAGATTTTCTTATTTAGGATCGTTATTGTAATTTATGCGTACAAGAAAAGAGAGAATCATCGTGTTCGATTTTCCAGAATGATTCATTACGCCTTGATGGAGATTATAACATCAGTACACAGCTCTTTCGTATCTCCTTGCCTTCTATCAGTTTCTCATAAAAATCTAGCGTGTTCCGTTACACCGTCACGGAAAAACAAAAGTAATCGAAGAATCGTTTCATATTTCAAAAGTTTCTATGTTCAAAATTTCTTCAATTTCTTTACACGAAATTAATGAAGATATTAAATTTTTACTCACAAATTTAATTTTTTATGTGAGTAAATCACTATATATTTGTATATTCATTTTATATATTTTCAAACATTTCATATTACGTGAGAAATATCTTAACATTATGTTGATAAGTACATGTTAGCACAATAACAATAGAACAACTAAAAAATAATTTAAATATTCGTTACATTTAAATAAAGCATCTTTTTAGGGAACCATTCTAAATGCTACACTAATTATGAGAAAAAAATTGTTCATTTTACTAAATTTATTTAGTTCATCTTTATTTCTTTCGATGAAGAATATATATATTTAAAATATCAAATGCCATATGTTTGATTTGAATCCAATCTTTAACGAGAGAAATAAACACAGATAAATTAATTTAGTCAAATAAACAATTAATTTAATCAAATGAATAATTTTTTTTCTCAGTATATTCTATATCGTCGCGTTTTTTTTTAGCATCATGTGGTAATCTAACAAAATCGAAGTAATTTTGTAAGATCTCGACTAAGTGTCCGATAATCACAACGCTAATTAATTGACATCGATATCCGGAAGAAACGATGTCCACGGACGAAAAGAAGTTTTCGAGCTGTTTCTTAATCCAATTTTGCAAGACTGCTGGCGCGCACCGAGAGACTACTTTTAATTAATTGTATCAACTACCGTCGAGGCAACGAAGTAGATGTGATTTGACTAACGAGGCAAATTCTTAAATTAACGAAGAAACTACCCCGGCTCTCTGAAACCGTGCACTCCCTAACCCCCTCTTTAGTATCTCCTCCGTCTTTTCTATTAGCCGCTTTTCCGCGTCCATTGGCTCCTCATTCCTGATTATTTAATTAGAATTGATTTACACTCGGTTTGCTTCTTAATTTCCTATTATTTTCTGATCTTGATTAAACAGGTGCGTTAAAATTATTAAGAGAGTAGATTGAAAATATTTTACATTCACAATTTTGTTATGTATGCAGTGTAATATATAAAGCATTTACAGTAATATATTATACAATATAAAAGGAACATAACAGTATTAAATTTACTTCATATTCAAATTTAATTTAGAATTATAAAAATCTACCGTTCGTTAATCAGATTTTATTCGAAAATATTCGGATGTCCGAATTATGGATTTCTCCAAAAATCAATTTCGTTCTGAAATAAAGCTCGGTCGTGATAGTGCGAAATCCCTCGCAAAATGCAATATACACTGTCCTTCGGAGAAGGAAGTAAAAAAAATCTGGGGGATTGTTTTCCGAAGTAATAAATTCTGCGCATAGAGGGATCTATCATGACAGTAAATTCTCGTCTGACAACGAAATCCTGCGCAAAGCGTCGCATGCTGTTATTATGGAAAGAAGAAAAACAATCTCTCGCGAAGTAATAAATCTCGGACACAGACCCGAGCGCTACTCGGCGCAACGCCGCGATGTAAATTCGTGCCTCTCGCCGTGAAACGGATTTTACTTCGGATAGGAATAGAAGCACAAACGTTTCGTCGCCGGATATCTTATCGTCGACGCGGTGCAACGTGCGTTATCAGGTAATGTATTTATGGGGTGGGATATGAACCTAGAGGATAGATATCGCGAGTTCGTAAGGCTGATATGTTCGGCGACACCAGCGTTATACGCGTCGGCAGATTGTATAGGGTGGACCGAAAATGAGCAGCGTCGACATTAATTTATTTCGAGAGAAAATCGTAATTTCTTTTAAGCGCTTTCTCCTTCGAATTTTTACCCTTTTTTCCAATCTGCATTAACAAGTTGCACAAATAGATTCAGTAATTATAGAATATTGTTTTTATTTTGACTGAATATAATCAATTATTAATCTATCACAGATACGAGCAAATATTTCAGATAACGATACTTCACTCTTTATGGAATTATGTAATGCAACACATTTTTGTTAAGAATATTATTTTCTAAATGTTTTGTATGTCAGAAATACTCCGTACGATAATGAAATCCATACAGGATAAGCATAATATTATTACGCATTACGTACATATAGAGCGCGTTATTTATGGAATACGAAAGCTACGCCCTTTTAAGAGCATGATCGAGACGACGTTCTGCCGACTTCAGGTTCTATAACGACGGTGTGTTAAATGTGTGGAGATATAAAACAGCACACACAGAGAAGCGGTACCTCACCAAATGTACACTTACGTAACGTTTTATTACGCTGTAATTCACGTAGCGAACGACATAGCGATACGACGAATATAATCTGTTGATAAATATACGAAAAAATATCTGTCTCTCGAAGTAAGATATTTATAGTTAGTAGACGTAATATATGAGGATAAAAGTACGTAATGGCAAAACTTGTAAAAAGTGGAATAACGAAAAATGTTAAT